CCGAAAGGATGCAGAATAACAAGGCAAAAATAATTGCCACAGCAACATCAACCCTGCAAGATGAAAATACAAATATAAATTATAATTACATCTGCAATTACATTGCCCTTGATAAAATTACACTCTAGACTATCAAATTAAAATAGAACGACAGGAGAAGGGAAGAAGGCACTGTCAGCCCAAGTTGCCAGTGAAAAATATTACATCCGATCAATGACAATGCAGCTTGTCCTAGAAACAACTTGCAAAGGATATTAATAGGTCCGGAATTGGTAATGTATCTTGAATCTAACGGTGGGCCTGGTGTGAGAGTCAAGTTTATGGTAGGAAGAAAGTGACAAATAAGAGTGGTTAGCTGGCAGGGGGGGCAATGTAAGGAATTCTGACATGCAATGTTGGTGTGGGTGCAAGTGAGGGTATTTTTTTTTTTTTGGGGGGGGGGGGGATGGAGAGTTCTGTGAGGAGAGTGTTGGCTTCTTGAATGCTAGCGTAGGGTGAGGCCTGTGATTCATTTTGTCTTATGTTTATTGCTTTCTGTGTGTGCTAGGTGGCTAGGCTGTGCTCACTGGTTAAATATCGTCAATCTCCCACTGAAGTTGGTTATTTATCAGTAAGTCTGCCCAAATAAATTTTTGGTCGTTATGTATCTTATTTCCGAGCACAATAGGTGCAATCCATATAGCCAAACCCACCTAGTGGGAATTGTTCTGTGTATCTTATTTCCATATCACCCTAAATTAGCATCCATTTAGCTCAGCTTTAAGGCTGCAATGCTTATATGCATCTAATATTTAAATTCGTCCAACTCTCCATATATGAGAACCACATCCTCATTTCAGCATCAAGGGCCAGAAAAGTGATTTAAGGGTTTCATATGCTGCAAGAATAATGACAGATCTTCAAGAATGAACAAAAAATAATATTTAGACTCACAAGAATTAAGCACATTTTTGAAGAGAGTCTTGGTAAGCCTTTTAAAGGACCATAATTTATCCTCCTCAACACCCAAAAAATAAAAAAAATAAAAAGGATTTTGGCTGTTTTGTCCAATCCGAATACTGATAAGTTCATGCCCGTTCTCAACGGCATGTCAAGCCTGGCACTCTGGTCTAAAATGTGTGATTAGGCCCAGCTCAAGCAGTTACAAATAGTTCTATAGATATCATGTACCATTGAATGGATAACAAAGGCCTGCAAAAGTATTTCTAAACTTAATGAGCTGGTCAGCAACTCTAAAGCTTGGCTCCTGAGTTACGTTTTGCTTAATATCTTCTTCAAATTCATGCATTTGTTAAATAAGATGAACCGATTTCAAGCTTTTCATGAACTGAATTCAAGTATCTCACAAGCAGATCGATAATCAAGAGTCACAAATACTACTAACATATTTATGCATCTTGAATGGCTCATGATCCGTTATACTTTCTAGTTCACACACACACAAAGTAAACCTTAGTTCTAATTATTTTTGACATTCTCTTGCAAACTGATGACTATATATAACATGGCAATTGATACCCAGGCCGGAAACTGATTGAATGTATGCATCCCTTGTCTTCCATCCAATGTTATATTCTCTATACATGAACAGTAACATCACTTATAGTTCTAAGTATAGTGCTCAATATAAACAATGTTTTATCATTATCATTATTATGATGTTAGAAACTAGCATGCTGTCACCCATATACCCACATGATGCGCGTCTATAGATCCCTAAGGGCTGCAATAAGGTTTCAAACTTTAAATCTTAGACTTTTTTTTTCCAACAGCTTTTTGTGACGAGGACCAGCTCACTCTCAGCTACGTCTCTAATATACAGTTTGATCGTTAGAGTCTTAGGTCCTGGAAATATACAACGCACTTAGCCATCCAGAAATCATATAAGCAAAAACCAAAAAGTCTATCTTTAAAAAAAAAAAAAAAGCAGAGAGGAGGTGAGGTACATTGTGTTTTCCTTCCCATCATTGCCAACAACAGTTGATCAATAAAAACATAATCCATAAAAGCATCAATGAACAAAATTTGGGCTTTGTTTGTATCAATCTCCCCTTCTGCTACTTATACTTCTAGACAAACAAGGGGGAAATCCTTCACAAAACATCTAATGAGCAGAGCCCACAAAACATCCAAGCATCAGTTTTGAAAGTAAAAATCCCAAATCTATGGTACAGTTGACAAAAGTGCACATCCTAGGCACAATGGCCATGTTCATTCAGAAGAAATGTTGGCAAATCAAGGCATGGACATGTTCAACAAGCTCCTTCAAGTTTGAAACATAATGTTTGATTGTCAGGATAATGCTTGACAGATGCTCAATAATTGATTAGGAAAATAGTTACACCCTGTTTACAGCTATAACTTCTGATCCAATTGTAAGCACTTTATCCTAATGAATATTAGCGTTAGTATGAAGTCATGGGTTCAAACTGCATAGGCATAACCATAGACTGTTGGGAAATTCAGGTTCAACTGTGTTCACCACCTCACACTTGGCTTGCCATTAATCCGTTGGAGTGGTGTCAAAGTAAGGTCTGGATTTGTACTTAGAACATAAGGATGTAAGTGGTAAAACTGTAGAAAGATAAGAGGCTGGCCAACTCTTTCAACTCAGCATTTGGCAAGTGCTTGTACTTGACAATTGATGTTAGATCAAGACCATGTGTTCAATTCCACAAGGGAGAAACTGGTAAACACAGATTTGACAGGGTCATAAATTCTTCGGATTGAACCATGCACTGCTCGTTGTGAAAATAAAGTTGACAAAAAAGTGTCTCCAATGGAAATAGATTTAATGACCCAACTCAGCTCTTAGGACATGCTCCTCAATCACAACTTGCAAATGACACAAAATAAGCTCTCAAGGTGATCCTAACCAGCATATGCCAAAATTTTCAATTATTGAACAACTAAATACGCAGATAGAACTAATCAGTACATGAAACATGTTCGATAAAATACAAAAACTTGAAGAGCGAGCAAAGCTATAGTTCAAAATGCCATCTCCCACCTCTACGAAGGCAGAGCCAAATGAGGGCTTTCCCTGCCATCTAATCTAATTACAAACCTAAAACCAGAGAAAAATGGTAGTCAAGTTCGAAATGGTACCGAGTATTGATATGGGGTTTGGGAGAGAAGACAGTGAGAGCAGAGCACTTGTGCTGGGATCGGATCTGGTAATCTCTGAGCTGCTCGACAAGTTTTGATCGGGTTATCATTTCCAGGGCCACAGGTCTACCCTATCCTTCACTTCCAATCAGAAACTTCGAAGACAAGGAAAAAAACTGGAAATTGGAACGGTGTCAAGCCTTGCAAGCTCACTAATCTGGGGGCAAACCATACCGAAAATCCACTTATATAAGGAGAAACAGGTTGTGGCCTGCGATTTGTGATGGCCAACCACGATTCGCAAATACGAATAAGATCTTGGGCTCGAGCGGGTGAATTAGCCGAAGAACTAGCAATTTGTGAGCGTCGGCACCGGCAGAAGAACTCCCAAAAGTCGAACATTTTAGATTATTAAAATTTTATTTATTTGTTTGTTTGCCTTTTTTTTTGGTTGAAAAAAGCTCTAAATTTGTGAAAATACTGTCATGTTTCTGAGACTTGATTGTAATTAATGTCTTATCTCTTATATGTGTAAAAATTGCATATGTTAATTGTAAACTTATACATTTATTTGAAAAAAATACTACTATTATTATATATTCATATATGAAGTAGAACAATTGGCCAAAAAAAAAAAAAGAAGTAGAACTTGATACCAAATATTATAAGATTTGTAAGGACAAAACATGATCGAAGTTCAAGAAATCAAAGACTTCTTGCATGTGGATTTTTTGTTTTTTGTTGGTGAAATTGCATGTGGAAATTTGAACGACCAGTTTGTTTGTCAATCAACCTCGTTGTTATATTAAAATTGGTGAATAAAGACACAACAACAAAATTGCATATATTAGAACTTCTTATAGGGTATAGCTTTGAGATGATGTTGGAAATTTAATATTTTTAAGCATCTAAAGAAGTTAACCTTCACATATACCGGTTCTAAATATAAAACCTTTATACACTATAGTATAAGAGTTTTATATTTAGAATTAGAGGAGTATTATTAACCACTACCTAAACTCATTTCCCTTACGTTATCTTGGAATCGGACAAACTGATGTTTGATATTTTTTATATTGATATGTTAATTTATAATTAATTATATATCAGAAGTTTAATTCTCTTCATGAAAGGGGCTATATATACATGGATTAATTCAGCTTCTATATATTAATCAAACACTTCAGTTCAGATCATCTACGAGTCGAACTGAACAATGCCATTGGCATTCAAAATTTTAATAGAAAATATGGATAAAACTGAACCCATGTCTGTTGTTATGAAGGATCAAACATTTTATATTTCTACAGCCAATAATTTGTAATGTTCCATTATAGAATGAATTATGAAAAAAAAATTCAAATTCCAAAAGAAAAACAAAGAATTAAAGAATATCCATCACGCCTTCATCAATCCAAAGAATGTTCATAAATATACAATAACACAAATCATTATATTATAAAACACAAACCAGTAGTGATTGAACAAAATTAGGTCACATTGATCGGTGTTTTGATGGTACAAGATCTTCCGTCAGAGCACAAAAATGAAAAGGAAGCAAAAAAAATTCTTGGGTAGATTGTGTCTACTTAAAAGAATGTAATTAATCAATTCAATGAAGTAAATCATAATCATGATCAGGCGATCGATCAATTCCTCAATTGACGACAAATGTGGCAATTTTCAAATGATTAATTCTTTTTAATGGTATTAGTTTAATTTATTTAAATAAACACAGTCCACTAAAGAATCTTTTTCTCTGAAGCGCGTTCTCTTGAAGCAATGGCTGGATCTCATCTTTGTCCATGCATGAGCAAAAGGGCTACGTGTGACGAGAGGACACGAAGGTCATCGATTCAAATAGCCTTTTTAATTATGAATTTTGGAGTACCCTAAAGACGTTGCTTTGGAATCTCACCACTTGATTCACTGCTTCCGAATTCCTGGCTGGCCAGAGCTATCTGTCTGAACCTCTTCATATCAGCCTGATACGCACTCGAATCGTACTCTGAGCTGGATGAAGATGCCAGAAGGTGGCCATGCCCGGCCTTTGCATCGTTCAAGTCTTCCAATGACACGTCTCCTTCCAGTGCTCTTACGATCTGCATGTTTTTGCATGGGTTTTTACGTACTCAAGTAATTTCAGGGACACCTTAGCTACAATTTCGTACCTGGCTCATTTTAGGACGTTTCTTGCCGGAATGACGAATGCTGGCAGAAGCACAGGCAGCAATACGAGACAATTCCTGGTTATTGTAATTGCCTTCCAAGAACGGATCCACCAGCTCCTCAAAGTTTCCATCCTCCAGCCCTTTTGCCAGCAGTGGTCGAGCCTAATCCACACACACACATATACATCATATATATATGTAGCCACCAAAAGGCTAATTAAAACTCAAATGGACATTTTTAGATGAAACTCTGGATAATAAACACGTAGAAACTGTATGTTACGAGTTTTGGTTGGAAAACAGCACTAACCCAGTCTACTAAACTATCGTCCATCATGTTTTGGATATCTATAGGTCGCTTCCCCGTTATGAGTTCTAGTAACATCACTCCGAAAGAGAACACGTCTGACTTCTCAGTCAATTTTCCACTCGACGCATATTCCGGAGCCAAGTACCTGTGTTAATCAGATCCGAATTGAGCAACGCTGTCATTAATTATTATCTATGTGTGCATCGTCGAAAATTTAATAAGTTTCTTGGACCAAACTGCTAGTTAGAGCAAGCATTTATGGCAGAAATAGTTGTATATACCCGAATGTTCCCATGACTCGAGTTGAGACATGAGTATTGTTATCAGTAGTCAACTTAGCCAATCCGAAATCAGCCACCTGTGATTAACATGAGGTTCGTGATTCAATTAATGTATAGCTAAATATTTGTAAATAGAACTAGTAAGCCGGATTATATTGCTTCAAATGATACCTTAGCTTCGAAGCTATCGTCAAGGAGGACATTGGCAGATTTGATATCACGGTGGATAATTCGAGGGTGACCTGAGTGCAGTAGATAATTTGTTAATAAACCAAAGACAAGAGAGAGATAAACAGAAACATATATATGAAATATTAAACTCACAGTCTTCGTGAAGGTATGCAAGCCCTTTGGCAGATCCTACTGCAATTCTCATTCTGTCAGGCCAACTCATGGTAGGCAAACCCTTTCCTGCACAAACCATCAAATATATAACAGTCTTGAAACATAAATAAAGGAAAGTGCGAAGTTAAATATTATTGGATTGAGACCATACCATGAAGGTGATGCTCAAGAGTTTCATTGGGAACAAATTCATAAACCAACATTCGTTGTCCACCAGCAATACAGTAGCCCTGGAGGGACACGAGATGGCGATGATGAACACGACTAATGATTTCGATCTCAGCTTGGAATTCACGCTCTCCTTGGCCACTGCCAGCTTTGAGGCTCTTCACGGCCACTTCTTTTCCATTAGGCAAAACACCCTTATGCACGTAACCAAAACCTCCTTGTCCTATCAGATTCTTATCAGCAAAGCCCTCCGTCGCGGCAGCCAAGTCTTCAAAAGAGAAGGTGCCACAATTCAGCCCAAAAGTCAGCCCTGGGGATGGCGGAGGCAGAGGTGGCGGCCCCAGTGAGTAATTGGAACTCATGTCGGTGCTGTGTGGTGGAGGAGGTGGAGGAACTGGGCCCCACCCACCACTGTCCGGAGCCATGCCCATACCCATACCCATACCCATACCCATGCCTGGTGATTGCTGCATCCTCACAACATGGTCATTCCCACCAGGGTGCCAGTTATTTGGGTTCTGTCCCCTGTTGTAATAACCACTACCTGCACATTTACGTTTTCGAATCATTATCTAATTTTACGCTGACCTAAACATATTGAAATTGTTTAATATAAGTCAATGTTTTTTATATTTATTTCATATGAGCAAAGTATGCTTTTAGCAGAGCAAGTTAAAAAATACTACCTCTTGTACTTAATATAAGATCTCGTTTGAGTTTTATTTTGATCTTAAATATAAGATCTCAATCCACTTTATCTCTCATATTTATCCTTTTTTTTAAAATAGTCCTTCTAATAATAGTAGTTTTGACTAATGCACTTGATTAGCAAGGATATTTTAATAAAGATAACACATATTTGTTACAAATAACTAGCTTAATTTATTTTTTTAATCTATTCAAATTAATCAACTAACTTTTATATCTAGGACCAGTGGTAGTATCTCAGTTCCTGAAATTCTTGTGCAAGAGAACCGAGAAAAGGAACCCTGATTTGAACACCAACATATGTCAAGGGTGGTGGCTTATTTATTAGACTAAACCGGTCTGGGAATCTCAAGCAAATGAATTGTTCAAAGCAAAAGTGAAAAAAGTTGGTCATTTTTTAAATTATAATATAATGCATGAACTTTTTAAATTTCGATTTTGTGATGTTTAATTTTGAAAATTATACACTTCGTATTGGATTATTAAAGAGTTAAATTAATGTCACTGATAAATATACGCACACACGTATGTAGTTTGATCGAGAACATGAACCTAAGCGTTGAACATGCTCCTTAAATTGTGGCATATTAACAAACCATGTAAATTAATTAAGACCATATGAGCAAAGTATGCGAATTAACGTTGCTGATATATATATATATATAGTTTGATCGATAACATGAACTTAACCACTGAATATGCTCCATGAATTGCAGCATATGGGTAGTTTAACAAGCCATGTAAACTAATTAAGGCCATAAAACAAACCATGAAAATCAGTAACGTAAGTCTATAAATTAATATTACAACGTAGTAAATTTATTGGACATTGTTGTTTTGTCGTATAACTCATAAATCGATCGTGTGTGTGTGTGTGTGTGTGTAGTAATTTAATCACAAATAGTATGCAATTATGCATGACTTGTACGTGGAGGAGTGAGGGCGCACATCTCCATGCACAAGCTTTGTGATGAAAAGCAACTAAAACAAAATGGTTTCAAGGATTCAATGAATGAAACGAAAAGCATACCAGATTTGCCGGGTTTGCCTTCGTCGCTATAGTAATACCTATGCTTTCGCTTCTTCCTTCTGCAGCAAATGATACAGACGATGATCATTATCAGAAGAACAAACCCTACTCCAACGGCGGCTCCTATGATTGCTCTACTGTCGTCACTCTTGCCGCCGCTGCTCTTTTCGCTGGATTCGGATATTGCCGGAGGTGACTTCCCGCCGGAAGATTTTGGTGTTAAATTAGGCGTTGACGGTGACGATTCAGAGGAGGATGAACTGGAATTCGACGATTTACCATTATTGTTCGATGAAGGACTTGAAGATGGAGATTGAGATTTGCCACCAGAAGAGCCTTGGTTCGACGAACCAGAACCGGAACTATTATCGTGGGAACCCGAAGAGTTCTGGTTAGGTGGTGGCGGTGAAGTTGCAAATGGATCGTCATTAGGATCTGCGCTCTGCTGGTCTGGTGGTGGGGGTGGTGGAGGGCTTTGCGATGAATCTCCATTATCATTATAATCAGAATCTGAAGATGGAGCAGTGTCAGGGGACGAGGAAGACATTATATTTATATTCTTTTGATTCAGAACATGAAGAATTTGATGAGAATTCCGGCCAAATGTTTACACGTCGCCGGAAGCTCCACCTTTCCCCTAGCTGCTCCTCTCACAAACACCGAGAACCCTGACCAAGTACAATAAAATGACAAAGAATTTATATGAATTCCGATTTAGATAGATGGGCACAGAAACAATTAGCCTATAAATCAGATAATTAAATGAGGAATTTTGATTAATTGCACGTATATAGTTATTTGTTGGAAGAAATGATGAAGAGTATTTGGAGGAAGAGGGGGAAGATACCTGTGTGGAGAAATGAAGGAGTTCTCAAAAGAAAGAAAAGGAAAACTTGTTGCCTGATATGATTTCATCAAACTTGACTGTTCATGTCATTCCTCAATGGTCTCCTACAAAGGAGGAATTTTGTCTCTGCCACCTTAACCTTAGTTCGATTCCGTTACAGATTTTTGCCAATTTTTTCATGGTATTCGTTTCCTTATGTCTGTAGTTATACAATGTCCACCCATAATTTCATATTTTTCTTTAATAGTGCCATCCATTACGACAATTACATATTAGCCCGCCTAATAAAATTATATTGCTTTCCAGCAAAATGTAAAATTAATTCGAATGGTCTACAAATTGTCAACTTGTAAATTAGAGAAGAGCTCTCGTCGTGTTTGAAATATAATCAGATTTTGTTTAATTAAATAGCTGTGATTTTAATTGATATAATTTGTCGATATTTTGTAGATGGTCAATTAATTTTATATGTAATCTTTTCATATTATTGCAGGATTAAACAGCTAGGGGACTTTATTATAAAATTGACCTATAATTTGTTAATAACAGAAAAAGATTGAATTTGCTTTGATTTTCATTGAAGCTAAGGGTGAACAAATTTACTTGCTTGGCTCGGTCATTATCTTTTTTAATAATCTATCCACATGAAACATAAAATTTATAGAAAAATGTAAATATTTACGAGCCACATCAATAGTATAAATTATCTCTTTTTTTTGCCAACAAGTATAAATTATCTTAAACTCGACACATACAAGATATAAGTTCATATATATATATATATATATATATATATATATATATCCCCAACTTTATACTTTTTGAAGTTATGCGAAAAACAATTGGTCAATCATGGGCGTTGAACGACGAGAAGTGAGTGTACATCCCAGGGAGGGGAACCCTTTTTATTTTTTTAAGGAAAACCATATTGGAGGTACTTATACTTTTTTTCAATTTTCAATTTGATACCTATGTGTTTTTTATTCTTAACTAAATCTTTAATTTTGCTCTATTAACATCATTAATCCTTATGTAGAGACTAAAAATATCAATAGAACAAAGTTATAAGAGCTAATGTTATTAAAAAGATAAAATTAAATGTTTAATCAAAGGAAAAAAAACACATAGGTACCAAATTAAAAATTGAGAAAAAATATAGGTACCTTTAATATGGTTTCTCCTTTTTTTAATGGACACAACTAGGGAGGAGAACCTTACTATCAATATCTATCAATACCACTTAAAATGATTTTGGCTTTTGTGCATAATAGATCATCTAACGTTAACCCCGTGGGGTTAGGTCAGCTGACTGGGGCTGTCCTAGTTTAATCACGGATCTCGGGTTTGAAACGTGGGAACGCAGCACTCCAAGGCGCCAGGGGGCGCCGTCCGAAAGGATCCTTGCAAGCCCCCGAATCCGGACTAGTCTGGGGTCGTTGTCACGGCTGAAAGATGCCTATTACCATAGGATACCGGATGGAGTAATCCAAAAATAGATCATCTAACGTTACCAAAGGTCCAAAGCGCCAGAAAAAAAAAGTGAGATTAAAATTAAAATTTGAACTATATTCAATTTATTTATGTGCATAACATTTAATATGAGCTGCAATGTTCATGACTTTTTGGTAAAGATAATAAAGATTTTAGGTGATATGTAAACATATTATTATACTAATTCTAGTCCTTAATATAAAAGAATTAATTAGTTTAATATTTAATTCTATTCTAAATATAAAACATCCCATTCACTTTGTTTCTTATATGTATCTTTTTTTTTAAAAGTAGTCCTTATAATATTTACACATATTAAAAATACCATTAACTAATATATATATAATTAGCAAGAATATTTTAAGAAAAGTAACACATATTTATTATAAATAACTAATTTAACAAATTTTTTTTAATCTACTCAAATTAGTCAACTAGCTTCTACATTAAGAATCAGAAGTAATATTATAGATTGGTCATAATACCAAAAATTAATAACCTAATGAACCTTCAGATAGAAAAGGAAGATAGTACATTTGAATTACATTTAAAGAGGGGGATCACCAGAACAGGCAAGCGTATCCACAAGATGAAGATAGAATTGGAGTGGTCCATAATTAATGGTAGAGTCTAGCCGAAGCACTGATCAGCTGGGAGAGGACCAGGGATGTAACCCTGCTCCACATACTGCAACCCAAACACCACCACTATGGCCACCACCGCCAAATACGACAGCCCCTCAACAGCACCCAATAAACCAAACGGTCCGTTTGGCAGACCCGAACCCGTCTTCGTCTTCGTGTATACTGACCACCCAACTATCCCCAGCACCGCCAGGTAGCTCACCCCCTCCAGTGCGCCGATCGAGCCGCCCGGTCCGGGAGGCAAGCCGCACCCTGTTGTTTTGAGCGTGAAGAGAGACCATGCGATGACTGGCGTCGATATCAGTCCTCCGGCTATGGCCGCTTTCTCCACTACGCCCCCGCCGCCGGCTTCGCTGTCCTCCTTTGCCATTGCCCTGATCTTGGCTCTTGGCTTTCGGAAAGCAAGTGACGGTGGGGAGCTGAAATGGCCCATTCGTGTAATGGAGGAGGGTGCTGGAGAGAGTAGTAACATCCTTGAGGCCTGCATGTTGAACTCTGAAGATTGAACTTACCTCGTTCCTTGACCTGATAGACAGTAGAAGCAGATTCCAAGATTTTACTTTGATTTGGTGGCTGAGATTGGGCGGACCACCTTCACTTTCCAAGTTTTCGGCGATACCCCATCTGCACATTGATGAAACGAGTTTTATTTTAAGAGTCGCGAGTCGTGACTGCAATTACTGACCTGAAATTCCCATTATTTCTCTCAAAAGTGATTAACGTAATTAATTTCATACAAATTAATTGAGAAACTTTAACTTGATAACCATATCCGGTACATTTAATGGACGGAATTAGTTTATCAAAAATAAACTGGAAACAAATTTTGTTTCCAACTTCTCATGTCAGTTATACTAAAAATTTTCCCTACAATTCCTTCTTGTAATTTAATCAAAATCACTTTTTTTAAGGGTGAATTTTTTTTTAAATGGAAAAAATAATTTTAATTATGCTAAACATGAGAAAGTTGTTGGAAATACGAGGGAGTTCTGAGAGATTTTGAATTAAACATGTGATATGAGAGATGTGTTCGAAAAATTTTATTTTGATTAGCTATTCCAAATAGCTCACTAAAAAAAATGCTAAAAAGTAAAAACAGATATTTTAAGAAAACCCTTATAACAAGTTTGGCATTCTCCCAAAAACTTAAATGTTAAATTTAACTAAAATCCTTTTTTTCAATTTAATTTTCTACAAATCGGCCCAAAACAATCAGCTCCCAATCATTCCCTCATTTTTACACGACAATTTTATATTTAATACCTGGAATCAATTTTTTAATAGGACCCATTCAGATTTCAGAATAGATAAAATTGAAAGATGTAAAATAGATAATAATCATATTTTAAAATCAAGCGCAAGCAAGAAAGACACAGAAAACAAAAGAATAAAAAAAATGATATTTTAATCTTCACGTTCGGGATCATTGTATGGACTTCATCGCCAAGTGATCCACATCTATTGTATGTTTCTAAGTAAATTGTGTCAAATTTCAATTAGTCAATATTAATACTACCTCCGGTCCTTAATATAATAAGGAACGGAGGGAGTATTAATATTAAGAATATTTTGATCATACGCGGAGTCGCCAACTGCTACGACAGGATGATCCCTCTGTCATGAAACTTAAACAGTTGCAATTGAAGCTCAATCGATGGGATTTTTCTTAGTCAATTCTGAACATTTAAAAGATAAACTAACAGATTTTATATAAAATAAAGCCTAGAAGCTGTCTAATAACCAGGCTCCTTCCACAAAACCATTATCTTGGCTATTTTAACGCCACAAGATACCGAGGAAATTTAGAACAAACTTGTTACAAGGACCTTAATGAAATGAGACAAAAATAATAATCCTTCAAGTTGACTCTGTCTCTCAAAATCTTGTGTTTCAATTTGCTACCCTCACACTGCGAAGATTCTGAAATTGACTGCAAAACTGGGGTGAAACATATCCTAATAGAATACACAATCTCCACTTTTATCAAGGGAAGGACGTAAATCATAGTAATACTTCGCCAATCACTGCCTCTTCACAAATTTCGTGATGTAGTGATGAGCATTTTTCATGTACATATTATATCCCTCGGATGTTTCACAAGTTCCTCACTTCTTAAGCACGCTTAGAGGTCGCCGCTTCTTTTCCATTTTCAATTTGAATGAGGCTCTTGCTAAACTCCCTTGCTCTCTGAAATATTACGAAGACCAGGCATTAGAATGTTCATTATCAAATGCATCTAACAAGATCATCAGAAGACGTTCAGCTTTCTTCGATCATTACATGAGCAATGATCGTGCTTAAATTTGAAACTAGCTGACATTCACCGCACCTGTAACTATCAACAAAAGCCATTATTAAAGCGGGGACATTTTTCATCGTGAATGCATCCCCTGCAGTCAAAATGACCACCGCGACTGCAAAAGATCCCCGTGTTTGGATTGATGAGATCATCTTTTCTCAAACGAAAAAGGATGATCACATAGCCCAAGACTAAAATTACAAGTACATTATAAATTTGCCACAAAAGGGGGTAACCTCAGAGACTACCGACATCTTTTTCTTTCTCACAATTTTCTTTGCAAATACAGTACTCTAAGGCTCTGTACCACAACATTTACATGTCGTCTCAAGGTCTTGACCTAATTTCCCATTTCAGAAATCCACGCATCCACAACTGTTAATCTAGCTTCTTTCAATTACATACAATGGAAGAGAAGGGAAGGAAAAAGAAAGCGTCCATCACTTTCCTCTGTTCTATCTGATCAGACACTCAATGAATGGAGGAGGAGTTCAGGATCCAGGACATAGCACCCCCTTCCCCCTCCGAAAAAACAAGCAAGATTAAATCACTTTCACTAATGGGGTCAACAATGAATGTAAACCATCTAATTGAAGAGGGCCTCCTACAAGGACTTCTCAGTTCATCGTGATAACCTTATCCATAGCCTCTTCAACAAATTCTAACTTCTAAGGGTGTAAAATGGTAAATAAACTCATTTACATATAGAATTTCAGTAAACTTTTGGATAGGAAAAAAGAGATACTGAGGTTATTATTTTGAAGAAAAATATGAAAACCAGCATTATTAGGAGGAATTCTTTACTCTCTAGTCATTACTAGAGTTGCAACAATGAAATAATTCATAGAAGGTTTATGTAAGAATCAGGGTTGTTTAAACCACAGAAACAAGTCACGAAATATGCAAGATCTTTTGACATGCCCGCTTTACTATAATTTTCTTGTTGAGCCATCAAAGCATAAAGAAGGAATGCAGGAAATTAACAACCTTCCAACAATGTGACATGATCTTCTCCAGCGAAAATGTTGATAAAGAATAAAGTCATTTGCTTTCATGTAGATGCTATCACATGGTATATATGATTAACGTTGTATTGTAGACACTAACTTTGTGACCAGGATTTTGCAACTGCATGCAGCGGGACACTTAGAACCACATTATGTCCCCACTTAGTAAATAAGTTTAGCCCAACTCTTGTTCTGAGATAGAAGAATAAATGCATACCAAAGCAAATCGAGGTATAAAATCAACAAAATTTAACAGTAGAAATATTTTGCTTGACATATAAGCTCCTAAACAATCCTCTTCAAGGAATTCATAAGAATTAGACAAGAAAAATACGTTAGAAAATATACAGAAGCGGGAAACCAAATTTAAACACAATATAACTGAAATTTTAGTAGCTAACGAAGCAACCAGCAAAAGTCATGACACGCTTCAACATGATAAATAAGCTGCAGGTACATAAAACAATGTCAACTAGAGAGCAATTGTCCAAAGTAGAGGGTGAAGAGACTTTGACAAGGAAAAAATGGGTGTCGGTCCTTAAGTTTGATGTGATGATCTAATCAAACTGTTAAACAACAACAATTTCAATGACAAAACATATACACCAACCAAAATAAGCAATTATTGAAAAACAACAATTTCAATGACACAACAGATCCACCAATCAAAATAAGCGATTATGTTGACACAACTTCATATAATGCAATCAAAATAACCAATTAATAAAAGTCTAATTTCTAGCTCGCCACTGTTGGCGTCACTATTGACATTATTGCAAACTGTAGTGGACATCGTTGATAAAATGGATCAGGATCTATTTTCATAATTTCTGAATACTTCAAACTGTATCTGATATTGCCATATTAAGCAAAGTGTAAGACATTTCCAATTCCAATTTCCATATTTTTCCAGTCTAGGCTTTTAAAGCTGATGAATTACTTGACTCGAAAAATACATTAAAGATGAAACTAGTCATTATTTCCTAGTTAATTGGGAGGGTTTGGAAAATGAGCTTTGGGGCTGGGGTGGAAGGAAAGGCTTTGGGAACCCATTATAACGAGTCAAACTGCAAATCATCCACCTTCACATCGCACAATTCAGCCGACTAAATTTGCCCACCAGGACATAACACTATAAAAAGGGAAAACTGAAAATAAATAAATAAATAAAAGAAGCAACCCCAGCAAGAAGAAACTGAGGTAAGAATTTACAAAAGAGATCTAACTGAAGAGTGAAGAGTGAGAAGGACCCACCGATGACTGTACGGGAGGGGGGTCGAAAACAATTGAGCGCACAGACATCTTGGCAATCTCCGTTATGGCAGCGTCTCTTACTTCGGGCACATCACTTGTCAGCTCTTCGTACGCAGCCTCAAACGCCTCCTGCCAGAACCGCGGCAACCTGATCCGACGGCTATTCGTGTATACGTCCCACATGTGCTTCACCACCTTCTCCCTCTCCTCCATTTCCTGTTCCCCAAAACGATTCGCAATAAAATCCATGGGAAATGAAATTAACCCACATGGGGAAAAGCACGTATGTAAACAACCATTATCGGAGAAAACTTACGAGGACGTCGAGGTCATCATAGATTGGAGTGTCAAGGTCATTAGATAAGCTATTGAGACTCCCTGACCACCGAAGAGAAACTGTGCCGGTGAACATGGACCAAAATGCAAGAAGCAGAATGGCAGCTAACGCCCAAAATTTATACTTCCCTCTACCGAACAGACCCGAATCCGAGTTTTCCTTCTTCGTATTAGCCGTAGTTGTAGGAAGAGTGTCATCATCCTTCATTTCTTAGATTGGGGAAATTGAAATGAAAACAACGATAAAGATCGGAGAAAGATTTCAGATATGAATTTCGAGGTCAAATTGTCCGTTTTCTAATGCTGTGCTCGCGGCATATCACCGTCAGACGGACTCAGATTAGTAGAGAGGACAATGTCCGATCAGGATTTGCGACCATGAAAGCGGGTTACTGAGATACGGTAGAGAGGGAGAGAGAGAGAGAGAGAGAGAGAGAGAGAGAGAGATTTTCTAATTTGTTCTTCAGATTTGGGGTCACCGCACCGGAGAAGGGGGAGGCAAGGGTCCCTGGCTTTACATGTTGTGGGACACCACATATTGATTAAAATGACTTCATCCGAGGTGGCACAATAGCGAGCGTTGATTGGATCTTAAGAATATAGGTTTTTTAATGTGAATGGAAAGAACATTGATGCCAAACATAGCAAGGGAACCGACAACCAAAACGGCTACGTTTCACTCAACTCCTCTTGAGACGGTAGAGGATTTAATGATTTATCGTTAAAATACTGCCATTTTATATCCTTGATAATTGGGTGTTTACATTTTACATACGTGCTTATCTCCAGGGGGGTTAATTTTAAATATTATGAATAAATAATAATCACAATCACAAACTAAGAATTATTTTACAAATACCCTATATTAATATGTTCAAACTTCATCCTTTATTTTATACCAGGCCCAAAAAAAAATCTTTTATCTAATGATTTTTAATTATTAATCTCGAGTTAATGAAGAGTGTAATTGAAATAATATAGCTTACGCACTAGACATAAGCTCTTTGTTTTTTTGGTGATCTGGACTGAAATAAGTTTCAACAAAATTCTTTTAACTATAATTAATGAATCACGTATAAAGTTTAATCATATGGACCGGCAAAACTCCAGACACTATTAAGCCGGACTTATGTTCCGATGCTTTGATGATTCCTCCTGTTTTCAATATAAAAATTAAATAACTAATTTATGAATATTATTTAGTTAATTATTGATAACAAATATAAATGTATATTGATTTGGCTAAATTATCTTATTTGATCATGCGCATTAAAATTACTTCTTAGTAACTCTTACCATCAATAAGAATACTTTGAAAAAAAATTATAAATTTGATAAACAAAGTAGATTGATATCTTATATTTAGAATCAAATTCAAAATAGTATATATTACTAATTCCAATTCTAAATATAAGATTTAATTTGTAATACAAAGTAGATCTTATATTCAGAATTCAAAATAATAATAAGTACGGAGACAACACTCAGTTCCGTTGTTAGTTATGAGGTGTTTGTATAACTAAAAAGTACTTTTAAAAAGTATTTTTTTGTAAATCGAGAAAAACTCTTTTACATATTTATTTCGTATACTAAAAAATCATTTTTAAAATTATGGTTTAGTATTTATCTAAACACCTAAGCCTCTCATATTTACAATTCTTTTGTTTGCCAACAAAATTACAATTCATTTGTTATAGCTAAGAAAGAATTTATTGATAAATTTGAAGCTACTTTTTTATTAAAAAAAAGTTCTAATACATATATGAACGTTAAAATTACTTACAGACAGAAATTATATACGTACATATATTTTTAAACGAACATTAATTGTACACACTTGATTATTAAAAATAAATACGATGATTTCCGTAAATTTCAATAAACTGATGAGAAGCCAGAGTTTCAGAAAACCGTAGGTATAAAAGATGATACAAAAATATGAAATCTAATTACGAACTACGTACATCTGGTGGAGGCAAAAAACTTTCCATGCTCAAACCCCATATGTTAAAATCCACCTCGTCGATCTTCCATCTCTCCTCCATTTCCCTCTTGTGATTAGCAGATTGCTCGCCATATCTTAGAACCGTAATTCTGGTCTTGCCTCCATGGGCGACGTTCACACCATCCACATATCTATAATCCTCAATCACTGACTCTAGGCTCGTTTCCCAGAAAATGTCGTCCAGGTCTTTGGTTCTCATCCCTATCAGTCTTGAATCCTCGAACTGCACTAGCAGACCGGATCTCTGGCTGAAATATCCCCATATGGTGTGATGAATAATCTCATAGTTTGGACCACTTTGAGCTTCGCGAATCGCAGGACTCGTCTCCACCTTGAGTATAAAGCAGTCATCCCCATTTATTATTTTCTCTCCTATGCAAGCTGCGCCCAAGAACAAGTTCGCCGTAGCCCTTGGATCCAATCCCTATCACAGAAACTCCATTATTACTTAGACGAGAATTGAGACTAAAAGTCATGGAAAAAATCAGTTTGGAAAACCAAGGACGTGTATGTACCTGAAGGAAACGGCGAAGAGGTCTGGGAGGACCTCTGGAAATAGGGCTTTGTTGATTAGAGGAATGACGCCATGAGACCTTGCCATTGCTGCCACAACAAACCTTGCAACCAGAAGCAATCATCTCTAAGCACCACAAATCTGGGTCCTTTTGCCACAACACAAACCCTGCAATTTCTTCTGAGCTTTTCTTCACTTCTATGTTATCGCTCGTTTGATGAAATTCTGACGCGTTAATCTTAATCTGCCCCGTTACGCACATGCTCTGCAGTGCATTTAGTGCAGGCTGGCCTCCGGTTGCTGCTATATATTGTTGCACTATATACTTGGCCGTCGATGCTTCCTACATCACCACATGCTATAATCTCTTTAACTTTTTCTTCAAAACCGAATGAAACTGGAAATGAAGACTGTAAAGTTGGTTCTTACAATGGAACAATCTCTGACTGGACGATGAATGGAATGGCCTAACTGAACCTGAAGAGGGATAAGAGGGGATCCGACAAGATAGAGCAGAAAGCGAAGCTCGTTGAGTCGTTTTGCGAATATAGGAGAGGCCAATTTGTCTGCAGTTTGAGCCTTCATCCACGTTAACATGTTCTGCCATCGCAACGCCACGTTGCTTCCCATGCTTGCGAACATTTCTTCTGGTATGGGAACTTCCAGAACCGTCTCTAACCCATCTTCCTTCTCTAGGTTCGGACAGAGCCTTCTGATGGATGCTTTTGCATTTGCCTGTTTCATTAGGGTTTCGTTCAGACGAGGGACGAGGAAGAAGAAGCTATAGCTCGATTGTTGGGGGAGGAAAAAGAAAGACAGCTAGAAAGAATGAGGGAGTCAAAGGATTAAACAAATTTTGTTTGTGGAGGGAGTAACATGGATGGGGCTATCTCGGGAAAGCGAAAGAAGGCTCTCCTTGCTTGTAGGGGTCTTGGGGTACCAAGTTTTGATTAATTCTATTGGTTTAGTTTCTATTTTAAGGATCAAAATTATCATTATTATTACTTGCAAATTGTTTCAGCCGTGAATTATATGTCCCATTACATCACTCCCGGCTTCTCTGATGGAATATTATCATATTGGAAGTGTATTTCAACTCGGTATAAAATACAAGTCCATAATTTAGTTAATGCGAAATATAGTGCAGTGAATTTGAACCGATAATATCTTTTTCCCCCCTCGCCTTCTCGATGATAATACCAGACATTATATAATGGATAGAAAAATATAAGAATCAGAATTTATTTACTAAGCAAATTCTATTTATAGCCAAGTATATGGAATAAAAAATAATTAATAATGGAATGAGAAATTGTCGAGCCACGGCTAAAAAGCTAAAATAAAACTGATTTAGTCAACCACTTAATTAGATTAGGCTAAAGTATAGTTTTGGTCTTTTAAGTTTACATCAGGTTTCATTTTAAGTTAAAAAAATATTTTTTTAATTTTTTTAATTTTAACACAGTTAACTTTGACCAACGAAAAATGCTGATTCAGCAATTAACAACTGACAAAGCACGTTGAAATTTTAATTATTTAATATGTTGATTTTCATATTTAAAAAGTAAAATGAAGAAAAAAATGTGGCGTTTCCTCTACGTCAGCACGATGCCGCCGGAGAGGTGGGAGTGAGGGATCAACACGTAGCAGAAGCTTGCATCTCCTTTGATCTCTCATGCCCCCGCAATCTCTTGATCAACCCAAATGTTGATTTGATTTTAGTTTTGTTTGAAAAGTCCGAAGCAAAGATGGCACGGCAGGCCAATAGGAAGCAGTGATGGCGGCAAGGTTCAGAAGTCTTGCTGTTCTTGACAGGTTTTAAAAGGCTCAAAATCTTGTTCATTGGGCTGCTCATTTTGCGCGAATTACCCTCGTTTTGGGTTTCTCATTTTGCTAAAATAATTGGGGACAATTACAATAAGATCCCAAATAAAAAAAATAATTAAAAAATAAATCTTAAAAATTGCCATTCTCACTATAAGACTTGTCATTATAAGCTGTTGAGATTGTTATTCTAACTTTTTAGTAATTATTTCTCTTTTGTAAAACTTGATTGTAATTCTTCCAAATAATTATGGGCCGCTTCTTTCAACACTAATTTTTTTTCAATTTATTTATTTAATTTGCTTCAATTATTGACGCAAGTTCCTCATTTCAGCTTCAAAATTAAAGAAAGTTGAACCTCCGACCATTATAAATGTACGAGTTTTTACTCGACCTTTCAGGATAATCAATTGGTCACTGGCCAGTGATTTGAACTACTAAGAGACTTTTTGTTGAGAGCATATGAAGCCTGGAGGTTAGGTGGAGGAGACGCCATCGTCGATTAGAGTGGGAAAGATGCTTTTATTTTAATATTAATTTTTAAATATAAAAATCATTACATTAAATAATTAAAATGTAACTTAATTAATTAATTGGTGAGTCGGCATTTTCTGTTAGTGAGAGTTAATGGAGTTAAAATTAAAATATTAAAAATATACTTTTTAAATTTAAATGATCAAATTGAAACGTAATACTACTCCGGTCCTAATTATAAGAACTAGTTAACTAATTTAAGGAGATTAAGGAAAGAATTTAGATTAGTTATTTGTAATAAATAGGTGTTGTCTTTTCTAAAATATCCTTGCTAATAAAGTATATTGGCTAGAACTACCATTGTTAAAAGGACTATCTTGAAAAAAAATATATAAATATTAGAGACAAAGTAGTTTGGGATATTATAATTAGGACCAAAATAAAATTCAAAAAAGGTCTTATATTAATAACTGGAGATAGTATAAATTTAAAAGACCAAAATTATATCTTAGCCATTAAATTAATTCGATAAATTTTTCCTTAAACAAATGTATACCAAATGACCCATAACTTAAATAGTAGCGGTGATAAGTAGATTTGATACGTTCAGCACATTTGAGTTATTCGACCCTTCTTTTCCTTTCGTCCTGGAGGAATTTTTATGTGTGATAAATTCGTGGGCATAGTTCACCCTGTCAAACTACTCAAATGCTGAACTGTTTCTAGTTATTGACCTTTCTAGTAGAAGAGCTCCAAATGAATCTGAACTTTGAATTGAGTCATATATCACGTAAAATTTTTGAATGACATTGCCAATCTTTTATTGATATGGCTAATGACATTTTCTTTTCTTGCCCAAAGTGAAAGACTTTGCACGTGGAAGATGCCACCCATATCTAATCTTGCATACATTTTTCTTCTCACTCTTCCCTTAGGTTCTGTTTGGATTGAAAGAAAATAGGAGAAGAAAGAAAAGTGGAGTGGAAAATGAGAGAGAAATGGAGTTTTTCCCTACTTGGATGGGAAATAAAATAGGAGAGAGAAAAAGTAGGAGAAAAGTAGAGTGGATCTCATGTCCCATTTTCCTCTCAAAATTTCTCTCCACAAATGGAGAGATTTTCACCAAAACAAGCTCATTCCCCTCACTGCCCTCCCCTGCAAGCTCCCATCAGTCCTCACTCCTCAGCCTTTTCCATTATTCACGCTGCTTCGATCCAAGGTTTCCACGTTCCCAGACTTTTGTTGCCCCATTTCAAACTCATTGTTATTTATTTTTAATCATTTTATTAAAATATTAGATAATGTATAAGCTATTTATTTCCTTTTATTTTGATTAAGTTCAACAATTATTCCCCTTTTATTTTTACATAGAAAAAAAAATTTTGCTAAATTATTTAGTTTCCTTGCCAATTGATTATAATAAGGATATTTTAATCATTTTGATATTTATATATTTTCTTTCCTCCCAATTTTCTCCCACTCATCCAAGCAAAATGAGTGATAATATTTTCTTCTCAGTTTTCTCTTCTCTCCTTTTTTTTTCATCTCATTTTCTTTCCTCCTAACTTTTCTTTTCATCCAAGTAGGGGGTTAATCGTACCCTTATCTTACTGACCACTCTGAGCCAGACACGTGTCCATTAACTGTGTGTGTATATATAGTGAAGTTAATATGTATTTGAGCTCAATTTCATGATATTGCAATATGTTAATTTCATCTACATATAGTGAAGGACGTAAGCAATGTAAAGCTAATAGAACTTGAGAATTCAATGAGATTCGAGATACCTTAATAAGGTAAGGATGATCGATAAGAAAGGTCAACTGAGGCACGGATTCCCACTTCTATAATCCATTCTTAAACGTGAGCGGGGGCCTATTAATGCTAGAGGGGGGGGGGATACTCTAACAAGTAATTTAGCAATATAATGACAACATTACTATGAACATTAATCATGTAATCACTGAAACAAAACATATATCATCGTATCTGCCTGCCTGCATACCAACTGTGTTGAAAATAGCTCTCTACACTGACCCTTCACCAATTATGACATTGACCCGCCCGCCAAATTACAATCAGCCTCACTAAATTAAACACACATAGGCTATAAGCTAATTAAGCATTCTGAGCTGCATCGGTCTCTGCAGTCTCATTATTACGGTTATTCTTCTTCTTACTGAAAAGCATCTCAATCTCTTCCAGTGACTTGCCCTTCGTCTCTGGGCAGCAAATAAAGAAGAAGGCCCAAGCCACCGCAGATATTCCACAAAACAGGAAAAACGTCCCTCCGATCGTGATTGCCTTGTAGATCGTAATGAAACTCATCGAAACGGCAGCGTTCATGAGCCTGTTCACCGCCACTCCTATGCCCGCTCCTTGGGCCCTCAACTTCAGCGGCCATATCTCCGAGCTGTAGACCCACGTCACAGGTCCAAGCCCACTATTGAAGCAGGCAACGAATCCGTATGTGCCCACGATGCTCACCACCAAGGCCCACTCCAGTCTCTCCTTCGCATGATCAGCGACCGTCAAGGCTACTCCCAGCACAGCAAGTGCACACATCATCCCGCCGGTGCTGAACAGCACAAGCCGTCTTCTTCCTACTTTGTCCAGCAAAAATGTGGCTATTATCAGGAAGAATACTTTCGTGCCTCCTACTCCTATCGTCGCCAGCAAAAGCTTTTCTCTTTTTGTGATCCCAGCTTTTCTGAATATTCTTGGACTGTACAACATGACGGCTTCAATGCCGGTCGCGTGCTCGAAGAAGTGAATTCCGATGGCGGCGATCATGATCCGACGAACGGTGGGAGTCGGATGGACGAACAACTCTCTCCAAACACCTTCTCCTTTGCCTTTCTTGGGCAGCCCAACGACGTCGCCTTCGCAGTTCTCGTCGATCCCTGCCGCATGTTTGATGTCCTTGAAGCGAGCTTCGGCCTCTTCTTCGCTATTGGAGATCTTGAGCAAGACCTTCTTGGCGTGTCCTAGACGGCCTTTAAGTACGAGCCATCTTGGAGACTCGGGCATTTTGAGAATGGCGAAGAGTAATAGGAGTGAAGGAACTGCTGCGATGCCAAGCATCAATCTCCATCCGATTTTCAGAGGTAATTTTCCAAAGAAGTAGTTCACGATATATCCCAGAAAGATGCCGATGCCGATGCCAAGCTCCGGTAGCGAGGACAGAAAGCCACGGGTTTTAGCGCCGGCAATCTCTGCGGAGTAAACTGGGGCTACCATAAGTGCGAAGCCCACGCCGATACCGGCGGCACACCTACCGGTCAGTACAACGACGAAGTTTGGGCCGTAGCCCATGAGAACTGAACCCACCATGAAGAGAAAAGCGGCGATCGCGATGGTCCACCGGCGACCAACGTAATCAGAGGTTCTTCCGGCGATCAAGGAACCCACCAATGCGCACAGGTTTAAGATGCCAGCCAGAACCTGCACTTCGATGTCGTTGATTTTCAGTTCTTCCTTCATGAATAGCATCGCTCCGCTCATCACTCCAGTGTCTAAACGAGACAAAAAGAAATATTGATCAGAAACGAACATCGCCTTTGATTAAGATCATTTTCATTAATCTGAATAGGTATATCACATGTCAGTTGGGAGAACTGGCCCAAATATGTACCTCAGATAACGTAGTTTATCATCACCAAAAGGGAATATCAAATTCAATAAAGAAAAGACATGAGAGAACGGAATAAAATGTTATTACCATAACCAAATATGATGGTTATCATGGAAGCAACTATAGCAGAAGCCAGAGCATATTTATTGGTGCGGCTGTCTGTGCTTTTGTCCATTGGTTCAGCCATCTGCACAAGTTGTCTCGTCTATAGGCAATTCTCTACGTATGTTGTTCGGTTCTATCTGCGTTTAATTAGTTATATTACACACACACACACACACACACACATATATATGGAGGATCGATGTGGTTAATGAACAACAAGAAGACAAGCTGCTTAGTGTGAGAGTAGTTCTGGTGGTTCTCACCTTTCAGATACACAATGCAAGTAGAAGACAAAGAACAAAAGAGCTTAAATTAGGCAAGAAATGAAGAGAGTTATTCAAGAGAGAAAAGTGTGGAGGAATTCCATCAGCGTCGGAATTATCTAACTGTCCTAACTTCGGAAGGATTATTATCACAAAACACTTCAAATTTTCATTTATTTTGGATAAGATTAAATAAAATCTGACCTGATTGTTCGTCAGATCGGCCTGCCAGATGTACATACATTTGCTGATGACCAGGAGGGTACTTATCTTTGAATCTGATGAGCATCAGGTCTATCCACAAGAATCGCAACTAATTATTAACCACCCCAGTGCCTTCTCATCATTTTTTAACCATATTTCAACGCAATTCTCATTAACTAATTCACCTTTATTATTGTTTCAAACATCTTCAAAACACTACTGTGATTATTGAACCTGTACGATGGCGGTACCATGTTGAATATATAAGGTCCTTGTCGTCAAACTAAACACCGTTTGACTCTCTGTTGGTATTTGTAACGTCGGGAAAATTAAAGATCAAAATTAATTAACCTATATAACGGGAGGCGTACTTGGATGATGCTTTAGGATGTCGGCATCGTCTTTTCAATATTATGATATCCGTTAATTTTCTCTTTTATCTACCGACACTTTGTGATTGGTACGAAATATTTAATGTAGGATTCTAAAGATAAGCATTTTTATTGGTAGCATGTTAAACAATTATTTTGGCTGTATTCATCAAATTCAAGGCTGTCATTTACCGTGCGGAAGGCAATGTTTTTGTCATGTCGTCATTGGTAGGAAATATAAGAAACTGGACAAAGAGCCATGTTTAGGAGGGGAGAGAAAAATGATTATGCATTGCAAACTCCAAGAAGCCAAGAATAATTTGAAGCGGGGAAAAAAAGAGAGTGAGAAGCAAATAGACAGGGGGAAAGAGAGATTTGAAGACGAGGCATGTCAAATAATATAGAAAATAAGAGGTATACAATGTGTATATGCCCTTTCTCCACTGCTTAACTGCAATTATTAATTAAATGGCATGCATGGCATATCATTTCAGGGAGCTGAAAAAAGTCGTTCTAGACAATCTTTTGGGGCCAAATTTGAATGCAATATCGTTATCATTAGCAATAAGTACACAATACGACGCTAACCAGTCGCCTAATTAAATTGTTATCATCATGGAATATATCATGAGGGAAACAAACCGGAACATCCAAGACAAATTGAGAATGAGTTCATTTCGTTGTCGATAGATAAATGATGTGTTAGATAACGGAAAGAGACAAGACAACCTGAAAACTGGAAGAAGTGGATACGTACAATGCCACTGAACGTACGGATGAAAAAGTTTGCTCAAAACCCAAAGTTTGCAATGGCTTAAGCGTATGTACTGTATGTGACACTAATAAACTATTTAGATAGCTTGGCTTTGAGTATGATTCATAAATAACAAGCATGGTGTTGCCTACCGAAAAATGCTTGGTTCACATAAGGCTGGGAGAAAAGGTATTTAGCCTTGTTTGACTTTGGTTGAATGTAGATTAAAGTAGGTTAATCCTTTCCCTTTTTTATTTTTACAGGTTACCTTAATTTTAATCGGTAAATTTGAATAATATAATTAATTTATGCATATTCAAAAGATGATACGATATCACGAGAATCATACAACTTAATTTTTTTTTTTAAAGCATAGAAATTTAATTAAAAGTTTTCTTGCCACAAAAATATTTAACAACTTACTAGAGTGCGTTCGGGAGTAAAAAAGATGAGAAAAAGGGAACGTACCGTGCTGGGGATTGAGGAATAACGGAGATAGATAGTTGGAGAATTCAATATAGCTGGGGAGAGGAATGACAGATGGAGACCACATCAATATATAGAATCGGGTGAAGAATATTTTTTAAAAAAATAAAAAAAATCATATCTCTTTTTTTATAAAGATAAAACATTCATTCATATCTCAGTAAAGTAAAATATTCCAAAATATCCATCGATGAATTGTGATAAATTTATCTCTGACAAAAAAAAATTGTGATAAATTTATCACAATCTCTCCCAATATCTCAATTACTGAGATACTAAATCATTTGGATTTAAACACATTAAGTCTTATCATATGCTTGTGATATGGATAATAGATTGTTGGCGAAAAGAAAGATACTGGATGATAGATGAAATCCTAATTTAATTTAGCAGAAAGCCTCATTAAAGGTGGATCCGCAATCTAGTAGCCCCTTCTTGTTCATGTTGCGTTTCAGTTTGTTCTGTCCCATTTTTTTCCCTGGTTGGCTATGTGGTTAAAATAATATTGTTTCTTTTTTATTCTTTAATTTTAAAATATATTGTATCTCTAAATTAAAATTTGTAAAATGTAATATTTTGTCTTCACTATTATATGTAATTTTTCTTAGCCAATTACCTAGTATTTTGAAAACTCATGTCTAACTTTTAAGCAATAGGTAATGTTTCATTCTTTTCATATGTAACAGAATTACTAAATTACTTTGAAGTATTTAATTTATCATTTTTTTAATTAATTTCTCTTGCTTATAAATTAATATATAATCTAATAATACAAAGAGATATCTTACAAAAACCATGCAACACATGCTATAATTAAATAATTTGGTAACTTTCTTAATCTCTCTATATTAGTCAACTAGATCTTATATTAAGAACTAGAGGTAGTAATATGAAAATAAAATAAAATAATAAAACATTTGACTATTTTTTATGGGAGTTTTTCCTCTTAATTTTCCTTTCATCCAAACAAAGAGTAACGCTTGGTGTGGATAGAGAGAAAAATGGAAAGAAAATTGGAGGATGAGAATACTACGAAGGAAATCTTTGAGCAAAATAGTTAAAAATTTTACTATTTTTGAGAGTTTTCTCCTAATATAATTTTTTCTCTCTCTTATTTTCTCCCTAAATGCGAGACATCCAAATTCCTAATTAACGGATGGACCGAAGCAGCTGGGTAGGGACGTTAGGCTATTGAATTATATTAGTGATGGATGTACCCAATTGCTCAAATTGCAATTAGGATTATGTTAATTAGGGGTTAAGGCTTTCTATTTAAATGCATACGTAATATCCACAACTTGATCCATGTATGGTCGTCCGATATAAAGCATGTGGGAAGGAAATCTCAAATCTTTGACATCAGCATATATCTAAAATACTAAATAACTATAAATCCATCTAAGTATCTAACTGAAGTATATCCTCGAAAGATGGTAAAATTTTTGCACGTCCTCATCTATTTGTTCGTGTTTATTTTCTAATCGTTTCAAAACTTCTTTGTTTCCCTCAAAGAGGGTCAAACACAGAATTTTGCTTACAATTAAGTTTAGAACTGTTTGAGAAAATTAGAATCACCTTCAAATTATGCAGATAAAATATTGGTCTAAATAATTTTTTAATCTTATAATTACTGTTAATGAAAATATGGTAACGATCATCACAGTTTATTTCATGGTTCATGACTTGTCACAATTTTAGCGTATTGATTTTTAAATACACTAAAAAATGTCAGAACAATCTTTTAAAATAAGGGAACACAAAATTGTTACTTTTATTAAGGAGGTGTTTGGATGAAACCAAACCATAGTTTGCAGAATAGCTTCTGGAAAATAGATTTTGAGGAGAATAGATTTTGTGAAGAATTGATTTTGTGAAAAAGTGATTTTGAAAAGTGAGAGTGTTTGGATAGTTGTTATCAGAAGCACTTTTTATATATACAAATTACTAAAAAAGACATAAATTAATATGACAATTACATAAAAAATAAATTTTATGATATATTTTAATTTGAAGGAATAAAATTGTTAATAATATATTTTTTACCAACATAATTAATAATACATAAGATAATATAATTAATAAATAATTAACATGTGTATATATATTTATAAGATATAAGATTAAATATGTTTATTAAAAAATAATTGAGGGATGTTAAAATCATATTATTGTTGAGATTTACTCTGACAAGCACAATCATACTCTCCAATTTGAGCCAGAAGTATAATAGATTCACTTCTCCTGAAACTATAGTTTTGGGCTCCAAAACCACGATTTCGGATTATTTCTCCGAAATTAATGTTATTTGGATGACATCCCACCCAAACTATGGTTTTGAGGGGCACCCAAACAGGCCCTAAATCGTCCACTCTTCTTAATTTTTTTGTTAACAAGATTTTTTTAATTAAAATTAGAAACATGATTTTATATCAAATATCTAACACCGATAGTCAATTTGCACAACATCCAGTTTTCTTACTTGAAATCTGATCTCTGAATTAGCCTGTTCTTGAGAATTTAAAGCTTGACCGGAAAGTCAACGGAATACACTATCCGCTTTTATGCTTTTTTTTTTTTTGTAAAACAAAACTCTTTTCATATATTTAGTTTGCATATTGCAAAATTATTTAAAACAAGTTAAATTAGATACCATCAAATCAAGTTTCCTTTTTCAATTATTGATTCAAGTTAATAAGCAAGGCCAGATTTAAAAAGAAGAAGAAGAGGAAGAACATTACGATATGCTAGCTATATATATATTTTCAAGAGAATAGGTTCATTCAAATCCATTTATATGTACTATTACATATACTAATTAAAAGCGTATTATGCGCTGGTAAAAATAAAATAAAATAAAAGCGTGCGTATTATGCAACTAAGCATTATTATTAGCATTGCACTGATCTGCAGGCTTGGATTTTCTATGTGACTTGTAATAATCCTGGCCAAAGATGGTCTCGATGTCTTCCAATGGTCGTCCTTTGGTTTCAGGCATGAACAAAAAGCAGAACAACCAAGCCAAGAAAATGAAACCAGCAAGCATTATGCAAGTTCCACCCATTGTTATCTTTTTATAGATTGAAATGAACGTCGTAACCAAGACCACGTTCACCGTCCTATTCACCACCACACCAATGGCCAGTCCTTGCGCTCTCAACCTTAAAGGAAATATCTCACAACTATAAACCCAAGTCGCAGGGCCCATCCCAATTTGAAACAAAGCCACAAACAAATAGGTAGGCACAATCACAAAGCATGGCGCCCACATCAGTGGCTCGTCTGCATTCTCCACTATCGTCAACCCTATGCCTAACCCTAATAATGCCATTGCAGAACCTCCTGAGCTAACCAACAAGAGAGTCCTCCTTCCAACCCTGTCCATTAGAAATGTGGCCAAGCATGTAAATATAAACTGGGTTGTTCCTATTCCAAGTGTGGCCAGATGAAGCATGCTCTTGTGGGTTATTCCTGTTCTCTCGAAGACTCTTGGACTGTATGATAAAATACCCTCGATTCCTGATATCTGCTGGAACACGTGGATCGCCATGGCTATGATCAGTATCCTACGGACAGAAGGCGAAGGTTTACAGAATAGTTCTTTGAAAGCTCCTTCCCTCCTACCGGTTTCGTATGGGGCTTGAACTGAGTCTTGCTCGTCGTCGACAATACCAGCGGCGAGTTTGATCTCCTGGAAGCGCCTTTCAGCTTCTTCTTTTGTGTTGGAGATTTGTAAAAGCACTTGTTTAGTTTCACTAACACGACCCCGCATTACTAACCACCTGGGTGATTCTACTAGTTTCAGCGTTAGAACTGCAAGAACAAGTGAGGGAATTGATGGGAGACCAAGCATGATTCTCCATCCCAGTTTAAGAGACAAGTTTCCGAAGAAACAGTTGGAGACATAGCCGAGCAAGATGCCCAGAATGATGGAAAGGTCTGGAAGAGATGTTAGGAAGCCTCTGTGTGATGGAGGTGAGATTTCTGCGCAGTAAACGGAGGCAATGTTAAGAGCAAAGCCTACTCCGATTCCGGTGATACATCTTCCGGTCAACAAGATGGCGTAGGAAGGGCCGTACCCCATGAGAATTGAGCCGAGTAAGTAGATGATGGAACAGAGGATGAAGGGGTAACGACGACCTATGAAGTCAGAGGTTTTTCCCGCAGCCATGGACCCTGGAATAGCACAGGCGTTTAAAACTCCAACTAGGAGCGCCACTTGTAGGTCGCTGATTTTGAGGTCCTCCTTTATGTAGAGCAACGCTCCAGCCATCACTCCGGTGGCTGAACATGAATCAAATGGCTTAGCCAAAGTACTCAAATAGTATACTATCTCTTATTCTTAATATAAAAACTTGACTAATTTAAGTAGATTAAAAAAATTTGTTAAGTTAGTTATTTATAATAATTAGGTATTGTCTTTCATAAAATACTAATACTAAATCATATATTAGCTAAAAGATTGAATTTTTAACATGTACAATTATTAGATATATATGAGAGGCAAAATGGATTGGGATTTTATATTTAGTATCAAATTGAAAGTAAACTAACTTTTATATTAAGTACCAAAGGTAATATTAATTGTAGCATTCAGTTTGGGAGTGACCAAATTTGAACCTCCTACTTAAAATAAAGTCAGTTTTCCAAAAAATAATTGTTATTTAAAAAAAATATTAGTTAAAAACATCAAATTTGAATAGTGAAAATTGTATTTAAACATTATATATGATGAGTACCATAATACTCACTATTGTGAGGAGCACTAAAGCCAGTTACTTCATTGCATGTACATACACAAAGGCCCTAGCTAGATTTAACATTCAACATTTTATAAAACTAACATCAAAACATTAAATCATAAAAAAATATATAAATTGTTAAAACTCTATTTGATCATAATAAGTACATGCTTCCTACTTATTACCTCAACAGTATTGAAGCATTAATATTATTTATATCCATGGAGTGATAGATAAAGGAAAGGCATACAATAAATTTCTTTCAAAATTAATATAACTAAGGAAAAATGACAAATAAAGACCTCCCAATATGTGAAATTGTGATTTGGAACTCTTAATTTGGAAAATCGATTCAGAAGACCCGGTCCATATTGTAAAAATGAAAACTTGATGAAATGTCTGAAATGCTCTTCAGCCAAGTTATGATTTGCTCTATTGAAATTGTCATTCGCTAAAGTGAACTTGCCATTTCCCATAGTCGACTTGTCATTTGGCATACTCTCAGCCAAATTGTGACTTGGTCTACTAAAGTTGTCATTCGCTAAAGTGACCTTGTCATTTCCCATAATCAACTTATCATTTGACATACTTGAGTTGTGATTTCAGACATTTCACTAAGATTTTATATTTACAATATGGGACCAGGTCTTCTGAAACCATTTTCCAAATTCAGGGTCCCAGATCGCAATTTCATATATTAGGGGTTCTTTATTTGCCATTTTTCCTATAACTAACACCTATATTACTGGTCCTAATATCAAAATTAATTTACTAATTTAGAGATATTAAAAAAGTCAATTAAGCTAATTATTTCTAATAAATAAGTGTTATCTTTTCTAAAATATCCTTGCTAATTATATGTGTTGGAATTATCCTTTCATAGAAACATTTAACATGCGAAACTATTATAAGGACAATCTTAAAAAAAAAAAAAAGTGGATAGATATAATTAAGAGAAAAAGTGGATTGATATCTTATATTTAGAACCAAATTAAAAGTCAAATTAGTTCTTATAATAGCTAGGAACCAGAGTTAATATGTAGCGTGCTAGAAAGAGGCTCACCGTAACCAAATATAGCAGAGACAATGGAGGCAGCCAAAACACAAGCAAAAGCATACTTGTTCACTTTCTGACACTCACTTCTTTCCCATTGTGCTTGGCTATCATCGTTTGCTTCTTGATCTTCTTTTCCCCTCCACATCATTTTTGTGATTAACATCTTAATTAGACCTCATATGTGGAGAAGAACTCAATAATGAAATTTATACACATAATCACGAGGTTTTTTTTTTTGGGGAAAAAAGAACATTATATGGAACAGACGTACTAATTTTTGAAAGACTGCGACGTTGATTAACTCTAGGGGGTTCCAGACGGGAATAATGACTCTTCAGTGTGATTACTGATTAGTGATGTTAGTGTTAATTTTTTTGGATTCAAAGTTTGTATTAATATTAATATTTCCTTTGTTTGCTGTTAAACAGATATTGAGAGTTTTTTTGATCGTTTTTAAACAAAACAAATTTGATTTCACTCTAATTTTTAGTCTTATTTATATGTCATTTTTAACCAAGACAAGACGTGAATTAATTAAGAAAGTTTAGGCTTTTAAGAGATAAATTACTTCTAATTAGGCCTGAACATACTCGAATTTGACTCAATAGTATTAGATATACTCCTCCGGTCCTAAATATAAGATCCTTATATACACTAGTATAAAGATATTATATTTAGGACCGAAGGAGTATCATATAGCTTTATAATGTATGTAGATAATATTTTTTTCCCGAAACAATCATCTAACTTTCCATACAAATACTCTTATCAAGATTCATCCATTTCCTTAATTTCTGTTTATTATATTAGGACGGTTTGATGCTTTTACCACGTTATTCACCCCCTATTTTTGTTACCCGGCCCTTACTGCTCAAACTAGCTTTAGGTGGATCTTTCGATTAAATTGTATCATCATATATACTAATTATCTCTACATCCCATCTTTAATTTCCATCTCCATTTTAATATGTATATAAGATAAAAAATTTTAAAAAAATAATGCTTCATAGGTTTGCTAAAATGACTTATATAAACTACTAAAGAGTTTTATACAACGACTTGAAAATATGAATAAAAAATTAATTATTTATGTAGTATAATTGGTTTGTTATAGCTGCAGGCAAAAAAAATTGGTTTGTTATATTTCATCAAATCCGCCCCATCCGCAAATTATATAATATATATAGCCAAATGTAACGACCTAGCCTATATATATATCGTAGTTTTCAAACTACAGAAATTCAATATATATAGCATGACCTTACGAAATACTAGACATATATTTATAGGCCAAATTGAAGTAGTTTTATGTTTAATATTCTACGAAATCGAGACTACAAAAACCACAAAATGTTTGCCAGATGTAGCGTCAAGAATAAATAAGGTCTAGATGCGGCAATTATGGCTTCTTTTTTCCCTTCTTGAAGGGTCGCGTCCACGTTGTGATAGAAAGTTAAAATGTTAAATTTTCACCAGAGTAGGCAATTGATTCGATTGAAAAATAACTTTTTTTATTTATTATTTAATTAATTACGTCCAGAACTACTTTATAAAATTCACGATATAGTCTCTTATAATGCTGGAGGAACACACTAGTGATGCAGAGATGCCGAGCCGCCGAGGAAGATTCTTGAAAGGTGTTTTAATCAAGAGTAAACTTGATTGCGGTATATTCCGGAAGTTGTTATATTACGAGTGGCATTTTTTTTAGAGGTGATGTATAAATATGTCGTGAAGTGAATGGATCATAAATTAACTAATCATATTTAAAAGCGATATTACAGTTTTTTTGGCCAAAAAACGTGATATTCAAGTGAATAAATGTTTGAGTGTATATAAAAACTCCTTCGGTCCTAAATATGATACATATTTTGTAGTGTAAATTATATTATAAAATAGGTCTTATATTTAGCACCAGTGCAGTATGTTGCAAGTTGCAACTGGTGTTTTTCCCTCAAGGGCTTAACTCCCAAGAGTTGGCGAAGTAGAAGGAAGAAGGGATCGAAAATGAAGTAGCAATCCCAGGAATTAATCTTCAAATGCTTGAATTTGTGCAAAACCCTAAATAAACTTGATATTGATTTTAATTTTGATTGAATCTGTTTTGATTTTAATTCTAGTGTTGATGCATGGCAAGGAGGAAAAAGGGACTTTTAAGGGTATTTTAATTATTTTCTTTTATTTTAATTACTTAAATATAAAAATGATATTTTTAATATTGCATCATATAATAAATTTACACTAATCGCATGCCATTTCATTTGATTCTAAGAAAAATGATATTTAAGTAACCACTATAAATATTAGTGACAGTACTTCAATATTTTGAAATTTCAAAAACAAATCATAGTCCTTGGTTGGATTTGGAATATAAATTTTTTTTTATTTGATTTTTGTCCAATTCTTATTCATCTTCTAATTTTTAAGACTCAATTTCAAATTTTATTTTTAGTACACGTCTTTGATGTTTCGGCTTTCAATACTCATCTTCCGCTTTTGAAGACCACTATCGAAATGATTGTCTAAAATATTTTTTAATCTTATGTTTAACTGTTTAAGTTACCTTTAATATATTTTATCAAAATGAAAAAGAATTGCCTAAGGGCTATTGGCCTGGGGGCATGGATGGTGCCCTTGCGGCACTAGGAAGTAAGTATGCCTACTCAAAAAAATAATTCATTAATTTTACCTTAAAATTTAACAACTTTTTAATTTTATTCCTATTTAATATATATACTATTCAAAACAATGACAATTTACACAAAAATAAACAAAAGATAAAATGATATGTTCATGTCAAGAATTTAATGAAAGTTTTTTCATAAATAAAACTAAAAAACCTTCTGTTTTCGCCTCATAAATAGGGTGAGAAGAGCAACTACTAAAAAATTAAAAAGCTTAATACTAAAATGCTAAAAAATATTTAAAAGGTATAAGATAAGTACCAAAACAATATGGAAGAGGAGTGTTAAAAAATGAACTTACGAGTATTTCGATTCCAGGTAACAACCACAGCTTTTTTTTTTTTAATTTCAAAATTGTAAAGTTTTTAACTGTCATTAATATTCTTAGAGATCCTTAAATGTAATGTCATTTCCCCTCATTCTATTCAGTTGTACCATATCATCTTTATTTTTGGCAACTAATGACCGCTGGATGTCAATAAAAATATTTCGAGCTTGAGCATAGGCTTGATAATGGATTCTAATGCGATCTAATTTGCAGTGCAATTATTTTTTATTTTGATATCTCTCGTCACTCGAAATAAATCATCAACATATAAAATTTAAAATATTCAAGTTGGCCAAAAAAAAATTCAAATTAAATATAAACAATTCATATCTCCTGATTGGTAATTAAACCGAAGATCCAAACTGGGGCCTTCCTTTGACCCGACAAATTGGAGCCTATGGTGCTGGCTTTTGTCCCCAGATCAATTTTACATACCCTATTAGAACATATCAGATCCAAGAATTAGCCATAAATTCTCCCATCACTTTATTTCATCGTAATTTGAGCATTTCAAAATCAGAAGAGCAAGGGGTCGCTTCGAGGGAGAATGGAAATTACAAGCAAGCAGATTGACAGGCATTGGCAGAGCGTGGCATGGTGGGGACACATTGAGTGTAAAAATAGTATTCATTCCACTTTCTGGAATTTAAAAAACCCATTTGAGTCTCGCAAAAGCACAAAGATAAAGGAAACACATTTCCACGGAAACATGATTTTGTTTCCTTGGATCCCTATCCTGATCTTTAATTTCAATTATACAATTTCACTGTACAAACAAGCTAAGTAGCAAAAGGCCAAAAGCTACGTTCCTTTTTCATGCACGCGTTGGGGGGAGTTTTATACGAATTACAATTTTAATACTATGTATAGAATGGAAGGACTAAAGTTGATAGGGCTTTCTCTTTTGTTTCTATGTAACAGAATCTGCTTATTGCTGAAGATAAAAGATCATGGAAATCGCAGGCAGAGAGATGTAATGTAAGGCGTAATAATGAACACGACCGCTCATCATGATCTCCACATGTTTTCGGCTTTCCTTCTCTCGATAGTGTAGCGAGCTAAAAGAGGATCCTGAGATTTCCATATTGCTTTTGTGTGTGTGTGTGTGTGTGTGTATACATATAGGAGATTCCGTCCTATAGCCAATGGTTGTTCGCTATCGACACTTTTCTTTCCTGCTGGATAAAGAACCTTCTGGGTATAAATGAAGATCCGCAAGCACTTCGGCAGAATCCTAGCTTACGTCTGTATATATACAGTATCAGGTGTACTACACATTCAGAAAACACTGTCAAACTTTGGAATATTTTAATACAGGAATTCATGTGTTTAAACAGATCAACCTCTTCAATGAATGATATTATACTTAACAAATAATTATTACAAGTATGTTATGTTTTGAAAAACTGGTTCATATCATCTTGCATCCTAATATATATAGAGACAGAATACCCAACACGGAACAAACGAAATATGAATTCGAAAAGGTTAACACACACTAAAGCCACATAACAACGAAGTTCTCATTCTCCTTTCCCTTCTTGTCTTTCCACAGAAATTCAGATAATTAACTATTTATTGTGTAAGCATGAAAATGCGTGAAAGAAAAAGAAAGTTCAGAGACAGAAAGAAAGACAAACTGATATGAGCTTGGGGAAGCTTTCCAAAGTGTTCAGTGGTGAAGTGAACCAAAAACGTGTAATTAACCTTGAGATATATCAATGCCCAGGAAAAGGAAAATGAAAACCCTTCAAGACATCATATTATTTGGCGTGACTTTATTGACTTTGGCTCCAAAAAAGAACGTTGGGTTCGGTGATATCACTGTCGGTGAATCAATATGGATAGTAAAGAAACCGTTGCTATTTAGACTTATTAGAAGCCAAAAACATATTTGAAAACATAAATTTTGTTTCTTTCTTTCTATAGTAGTGTAACTTTTGGTGGAGGGGTACGAGAGAAAGAAAAGCAGGCTCCCGGTTGCAGTTTAAAAATCTGGATGCATTGTTCCTCATCTTCACATGGTCTCCTTTTATCTGCCAAAAGAAAGAATCCAACAGAGTACGGCAAGATACACTAATAATACCGGGATCATAATCCTATCCCCCCCCCCCCTTTTCCCCCCGTTTTTGGCCCCCGAAAAGATTGATCATCTTCATCCAAATACAAGCTAGCATGGGAATGTATGTATCTTGTAAAAAGAAGAAGGTCAATTAAGTAGCCCGTTCCCCCAGCCCCTTTTTTTTTTTTTACAAAAAATATATATTCCTTTTCCTTTTTTTCCCAATCAAATTATGTATTTCATTACATGATAATTTTGCATATAAAAAGTATATACAACAACAACCAGTCTTAGCAAAACTCAACTCACTTAGTATCATAGACTTCTTGTATATTTTTATTATAAGATGTGGATGTAACATTGCCTTTTTGTTATTTATAAAATTTGAAACTTTCAAAATTTAAAAATGGCAAAAACGAAATTGCAGAAATATGATATGTTTGCCAGCTTATATTTGCACTACCTTCTGTCCTAGTTATAAAACCCCGTTTATATACTACAAACGAAATCCTATAGTTAGGACCGGGGTATTAATAAAGAGAAAGTTGAAAATAGAATTTGGAAAAAATTATTTATGACTGGTGCATTTTATTGTCAATTTTATATGATTTCGTAATTTATAATTATAATTATATTTAATGTTTTATTATTCATTTAATATTTATTTATGAAGCATAGATATTTTTATTGGATAAAAAAGAATTTAAGGCATATAATATAAGTGTTGTCCTTGTAGGAAACCTTGAAAACGGTGCAGGAGTTAATTATGAATGCAATTTGACTAAACGTTGAGAAACAGTATGAATTGGCTATATAAGAAGAGGGCAACGGGAGACCAACCGGCCATCTCATGTTGCGAAGTAGTGAGAAGCTTGAGTTATTATTTTGAGTGTGCAGAGAATTTTAAGTGCCTTCACATGGCTAAACGTTTCAAGTTCCGAATATCCCGCCTCATCATCCCCTGTTTCCGACCTTGCTGCCCCAAACACCCGGCCTCCACCGACGATGACTTCCTCTGGGAAAAGGAAGACAAATGGCACGTCATCGCCAAGGTCTACAACGACAACACCGCTCCTTCTCGCCGGAAAATCCACAACTCCTCAGTCTCCGGCGGTTCCGGACCCGACGACGTATTGCCTCTTCCATCATCGAAACGGCGGTATAAGAAGAAGAGGAGGACAACACCAAGAGGCCGTAGCCGTGTAAGCACTTCCTCAGCTGATCGCAGCTGTGGTTTGTTCAGCAGCGACGGCTACGACGATGAAGAAGAAACCGAAGCTCTAGTTTCGTCTTCTAGAAGCGACACGCCGCCTCACAAAGAACGCGAGTTGACGAAGAAGAAGAGGAAGGAGAAGACGGTGTGGCGGGTAGCGGCGAGGTTGTCGGCGTTTGAGGGGGTGATGGGGTGGAAGGTGGAAGGGAAGGTAAGAGAGAGCGTGGCGGTGGTGAAGAAGTCGGAGGATCCGTACCATGATTTCAGGAGGTCGATGATGGAGATGATAGTGGAGAAGAAGATGTTCGAGCAGAAAGATTTGGAGCAACTCCTGTGTTGCTTCTTGTCTCTAAATTCCACTAAATATCATCCCGTCATTGTTCAGGCTTTCACCGACATTTGGGAGACTCTCTTCTGCTTCTGCATCAATGGCAACAGCTGAATTTCCTTTTCTGAAATGAAACTATGATGAATAAATCTAGGTACTTTTTCACTCTTCATGCATGCTTTATTAACTTTTAAAAGTTAGTTGCACCGTTTAATTAATAATTCGTGAAACATCCGTGTTGCTCGAGCTCATTCTTATGGTTTAATCCTGTATATTTCAACGACACCGCTGAACAGTAGCGAATAAAAACTTTCACAAAACATATATATTGGCTCCAAAGTAATTTTGCTTAGCATCATCGTAGCCAGTTAATGAACAATATGTTATTTACTTAATAAATTATTGTTTAGGATATATATATATATATCGCCTTGTAGTGCATGAAATAATTGAGTCTTTACTTGAAGTGAATTTTTTTAAAATTAAAAAAAACTCTACATACGTGTTTTTGTAGGGTATAGGGCGCAATTCCATTTGCAAGATAAACACAGCGTTTAGTTTTGCAACGAATGCATAAAAATTAAAAAAGGCTCCCGCTGAAGGGTGGGGCTGCCCAAGGCCGGAGCGTTGGAAAAATTGTAACACTAGTTCTATTTTTTAATATTAGAGTTAAATTGATATTTGATTTGATCTTAAATATAAGACTCTAATTTACTTTATTTCTCATATTTATTTATTTATTTTTCAAAGTAATTCTTGTAGTAGTTGCACTTATTAAATATTTCATCAAATATTAGTAATGGTATTTTAGAAAAAATAACCCCTATTTATTATAAATAATTAATTCAATTATTTTATTTAATCTGCTCAAATTAGTATTAAATTAATATCCCAAGCGACTCTATGGAGCCATTTATAAAGCAATTTGAAAAACATCTTTTTGCTTCTAGAGATAATAAAGGGACAAGAAGAAAGAGGAACTGGGATCTACTGGGGAAAGACCGGGGTGAAGTGAACCATCGTCCCTTTTTTTCCTAGTAAGCTCCACGCCTTTGTTTTCGTCTAGATCTACTGGGGAAAAACCGGGGTGAAGTGAACCATCGTCCCTTTTTTTCCTAGTAAGCTCCACGCCTTTGTTTTCGTCTAGATTTTCCTGTGGGAAATGTTAACACGTAGTTTCCATATTTTAATATAAAAACTAAACAAGTAAATTCATGATATTAATAAAATTAGTTAAATTAATTATTAAAAAAAATTTCTTAATTTTTCTAAGCTATACTTTTTAATTACATGCTTTAAAACTAGGGAAAATTTCACTGTAGGACCGCAGAAGACAATTAATATCAAAGAGTCCCCAAAACTTTCTGAAACCTCACTGCAGGACCAAGGGACCAATCTGATATTAATTTTTAGAGTGAGATTACAATAATACCCCTCCCTTTTTATTTTATTAAAAAATAAATATTTACCGGAGTTACTGTTCCGGCCACCGGAGGTCGGAGGTCCGGCTACAAATGCAAGTATTTAAGTGCAAATGAGCAAGTGAAATTGTCGAATATTACTTGCAAATCTATAAACTTTTGTTGTAAATCTTCAAATTTTATTTGCTCATTTACACTTAAACACTTGTATTTGGGATTGTGAGTTCCATTATGTTATTTGTAAATTGCCTAATTTTTGTTGTAAATTGCTCAATTCCACTTGTAAATCGTCTAATTTCACTTGTTCACTTACACTCAAACACTTACATTTTGGGTTGTGAATTCTCTTGTGTTTACTAAATTTGGGTTGTAAATCCATAAACTTTTATTGTAAATCTTCAAATTTCACTTGCTCATTTGTACTTAAACACTTGCATTTGGGGTTATGACTTCTATTATGTTATTTGTAAATTGTCTAATTTTTGTTGTAAATTGCTGAATTACACTTGTAAATCGTCTAATTTCACTTGTTCACTTACACTCAAACACTTATATTTTGGGTTGTGAATTCTATTGTGTTTGCCAAATTTGGGTTGTAAATCCATAAACTTTTATTGTAAATCTTCAAATTTTACTTGCTCATTTGCACTTAAATACTTGCATTTTGGGTTATGACTTCTATTATATTATTTGTAAATTGTCTAATTTTTGTTGTAAATTGTTGAATTCCACTTGTAAATCGTCTAATTTCACTTGTTCACTTACACTCAAACACTTACATTTTGGGTTGTGAATTCTCTTGTGTTTGCTAAATTTGGGTTGTAAATCCATAAACTTTTATTGTAAATTTTCAAATTTCACTTGCTCATTTGCACTTAAACACTTGCATTTGGGGTTATGACTTCTATTATGTTATTTGTAAATTGTCTAATTTTTGTTGTAAATTGCTGAATTACACTTGTAAATCGTCTAATTTCACTTGTTCACTTACACTCAAACACTTACATTTTGGGTTGTGAATTCTCTTGTGTTTGCCAAATTTGGGTTGTAAATCCATAAACTTTTATTGTAAATCTTCAAATTTTACTTGCTCATTTGCACTTAAATACTTGCATTTTGGGTTATGACTTCTATTATATTATTTGTAAATTGTCTAATTTTTGTTGCAAATTGCTGAATTACACTTGTAAATCGTCTAATTTCACTTGTTCACTTACACTCAAACACTTAGATTTTGGGTTGTGAATTCTCTTGTATTTGCCAAATTTGGGTTGTAAATCCATAAACTTTTATTGTAAATCTTCAAATTTTACTTGCTCATTTGCACTTAAAAACTTGCATTTGGGGTTATGACTTTTATTATGTTATTTGTAAATTGCCTAATTTTTGTTGCAAATTTCTGAATTGCACTTGTAAATCGTCTAATTTCACTTGTTCACTTACACTCAAACACTTATATTTTGGGTTGTGAATTCTCTTGTGTTTGCCAAATTTGGGTTGTAAATCCATAAACTTTTATTGTAAATCTTCAAATTTTACTTGCTCATTTGCACTTAAAAACTTGCATTTGGGGTTATGACTTTTATTATGTTATTTGTAAATTGCCTAATTTTTGTTGCAAATTTCTGAATTGCACTTGTAAATCGTCTAATTTCACTTGTTCACTTACATTTGGACTGTTGCGTTTATTTTGTTATATATAGTTTTATTTGCATTTTATGATTGAATGGGTTGCTTGGCTTGGTAGTTACAAGTTTTTTGGTGTGCCAAGGGGTCCTGGGTTCAAACCCTCCCTTGGCCACTTTGTTTTAAATAAAAAAAACTCTGGCCACCGGAGGTCCCATCGGAGTTACTGTTCCGGCCACCGGTGACCGGACCCCGACGGCGGCCACCTGAGCGCCGGTGGCCGAACCTCCGACCTCCGGTGGCCGGAACAGTAACTCCGGTAAATATTTATTTTTTAATAAAATAAAAAGGGAGGGGTATTATTGTAATCTCACTCTAAAATGAGGGGCAGTGGCGTCATTTCGTTTGTGGAATTAATATCAGATTGGTCCCTTGGTCCTGTAGTGAGGTTTCAGAAAGTTTTGGGGGCTGTTTGATATTAATTGTCTTCTGCGATCGTACAGTGAAATTTTCCCTTAAAACTATCCTTTAATTAGAAACACTCTTTATACATGTGTAATTAATATGAATATTTTAAATAAAAATTGATAAATTTAAGAAGCAAACTAGACTGAGATCTTATATTTATCATCAAAATCAACCATTTATCTACATATATTTATATGTGATAGAGCAGCACGAGATGGTTCAATAACATTTAAAAGAAAAAACACTAAGTGCTTGTTTGTATCAACGATTGAGACTCTAAAAGCTACTTATTTTTCTAATAAGCCCGTTTGGAAAATTGGAAGGTGTTTAGCGGAGCTTATAAGTGCATGTTTGGATCAACATTTTCAATAGAAAATGTGTATTGGAATGGCGCAAACTAACGTTACTAGCAGATAAATGTTCAAACAGATGTTTGGGTGAGCGTTTTTGCAAATGAACTTTTGGGTAAAAAAATGCATAACGCTGAAACCAATTTTTTGAGCTTTTGCCGTCATAAACGTGGAGAGAGAAAAGATGGTAATGAAAAAAAGACAAAATTACCCCTAACAAACCCAATAATTTGATACTACGTATTCTTAACATAAGAGTTAGATAACTAATTTTAAAATATTAATAAAATTAATTAAATTATTTATTTGTAATAAATTAATATTGTCTTGTCTAAAATATTTTTATTAATCATGTGCATTAAAACTACCCATTAATAAAAACTCCTTAATATGTATAATCATTACAGGGATTACTTGAGAACAAAATAAATAAATATTTTATAATTTCACAAATAAACTATTTTTATTTTATCATAATAATTTTAGGTATTTTTTTCAACAATTATCATATTCAAAACATAAAATTTCAAACACTACTATTCAATAAAGTCCATGCCCTTTTCAATCATTTTACAATTAAACTAACTTTTTTATTAATCATCCAAACAACTTTTAACTTTTTCAACTGACTTTTTAAAAACACCTATCCAAACATAAATCGCATTACATTAACTGACTTTTACTCTGACTTCAATTACAAAAGTCAGTTAGGCTAGAAGTCAGTTTTGCCCAACATCAATCCAAACATATCCTAAGTCATCTGATTTGGGCCCAAAAAGCTGGATTGAAACGGACTTTTACATAAGCTGATATTTGTAGCTTATGGGAATCAAATTTGAAATCCCCGTTGGGAGACTCACCTACCACAGCCAGGTACGCGACGCGGATCGAATCTAAATGTAGTAGGAGCAAAGCTCCGGTGAACTGGGTAGACAACTAAAGGGAAAAAAAAAAATCGGGCTTACCATTGGAATTGTATATGTAGGTGGGTCCACCATCCAATTCTGACCTTTCCCCTTCATTCATTTCCCTCTATCAGCCAATTGCTATTTGAATACCATTGGGGTAACCGTTGTTCTTTTTCTTCTTTTTTTAATTTGATTTTGCTTAATTAATTAAAAATTTAAAATTAAGCAGTAAATTACAATATAAATTGTTTAAATATAATAATCTAAAGAGTTCAAGTTATGAAAAATAGTAGTAAGAATTTACTCTTCTTCGATATGAATAAATTTTTTTCAATTTTTTA